GCTTCTCAGGGAGGGTGGAGGTTCTGTTTGTGGTGGGCAGGCTGGGGGTGAAGAGCCACTGCGGGGGTATCCACTGGCCTTGAAAAATGAAAAGCGGTCCTTTGGTAAGCTGAAGGGCTTCAAAGCATCCCAGCGAAGTAGAAGATTGTGGAGAGGAGTTTTCAACCTTAAAACTGTCATATCAATGTGAGCACATTGCATGGCCCTCCCTTTTCACCCCACGAGTCTTGTTGTGTTTGGCCAAAGTTCCTTTTGTGACACTAATCTAAGCCCATGAATTTGAGGAGCACTGGAAAGTTTTCCTTTGGCTTTTACGGAACCAAGTAAAGCTGTCACGGGCTTCTTCTCAGCTGACAGCCCAGATTCATGGGAACTGGTACAGTCCTCCCCTTCCATGTGGCGGCTGCCCTGGCTGCCACTGGCTGCTCTGTCCCCCTTCTTCCCACAGCCAATGCCTTTTGTCACCACCATTCCGGGAGGACTGTATCCATCCAAGTCCATCATCCTGTCGGGCACTGTCCTGCCCAGTGCTCAGAGGTAAGGCAAGGGCTCCAGTGACCTCTGGGAAGAGAGAGCCCTTCAAGGTCATTCCAGCCATTCCCCTGGCTTCGGGCAGGCTGCAGATGATGGGGAGGAAATGGGGCTCAGAACTCAGAGGACAAAGCTTCAGGTGGGCCGCCCACCCCAGGTTCCACATCAACCTGTGCTCTGGGAGCCACATCGCCTTCCACCTGAACCCCCGTTTTGATGAGAACGCTGTGGTCCGCAACACCCAGATCAACAACTGTTGGGGGTCTGAGGAGCGAAGTCTGCCCCGAAAAATGCCCTTCGTCCGAGGCCAGAGCTTCTCGGTGAGGCACCGCTGTCTGGAGCTCGGAGAGGCTCCTACGGGTGCACAGGGGGAGGGGTAAAGGAGGTCTGGGGTGCCTTGAACAGGATGGGGGCAGATGCCTCTGGGATGAGGACCCAGAAGAAGAGAAGGTGGCCAACAAATTATTATTATTATCATTATTTTCCTGCACGAAGGAAGTGTTGGAATCTGCTTTTTCAGATGAGGAAAGAAACTCACAAGTGCAGGTTACTTGCTTGCAGTCACACAGCCAGTAAGTGTCAAATCAGATCCAAGAAGGAGGTGTTTTTCATTTCTTCACTTATTCAACAACCATTTTCTTGTCGCCCGCTTTGTGCAGGAAGCAGCCCGTGTGCTGGGGGCGCAGTCATGAAGCAGGCAGACCGGGTCCTGCCTCCAGGGAGTTTACAGTTTAGGTGGGGAAG